CAACCAGAGGAGTCGCCCCCTGGTGGACACTAGAGAGAATGCAGGTTAAAGACATGAAGCTTTGACTTCACTTTACGTGACGTTAGTGCACGTGAGCACTCATACAGCGGTTTCAATGTCGAGCCCTCAGGTAGACAGTTAGCTCTGTCAGCACTGTTGCCGTTGTTTGCGCTGTTAGCACCGTTAGCTGCTAGCCGCAGGCTCAGCCTTCGCCATGTTGAGAGCCGTGTGGAGGCAATCGATATGTTCTGAACTGTATTGAGAACCTTTAACTGTCATCTAACTCTAGAAATCTGTCTGTGTGTCATTCACATATGTCTAGAAACACTCATCTGATCTGCTTCACACTTGTTGGGTGTTTTGCTTTGAGTGTTCTCTCGAATTTGGTGCAATTTAGACTAAATATTAACTTTGGATGCTGGATATTCTAAAGTTACAACCAAACTCGGCCGTGAGCCGAACAATAGGGCCGCTATGAACGAGCTGCTAAAATAAAACACAACGTGTTAGCTTCAGATTCACACTGAAGTTTCTCTCTCTCACACGGAGAGGAAGGTTTCTTTTACACAATGAACGGTCGTCAGATTACAGGTTACTGATCTCGATCCTTCTTCCTCTTTTGTCTCAACGTGTTTTATTCTTTCTTCCTCTCACAGTTTGACTCTGTCAGCACACTGACCTCAGATCTGTTTTCAGACTGAAAATAACACTTTCAGATGCTGTTTGGTGCAGTTTCTACTTATCTTTTAATGTTAATGTGTTTGTTTGTTTGTAGTTATTGTACATATCTGACATTAAAAAGTAGAATAGAATTATAATTTTGACCACAAAGACACAGAAATGACTTACTGGGAGCATGAAGTCTTTTATGAAAACGGTTCTGTCTTTGTCTTTGTGGAGAGGAATGGAGGGTTTTCCCATAGACTTCAAAGCAGTCACAGTTTGATCACAGCAAACGTTAGAGGAACTGCAGCCAAACAGAGACGCAACTATTTAAAGTGACATCCAAGTTGTCTCGTAAGTTATTGAGTAACATTAAACGTCTTAAACTTTATAGCTTTTGAAGAAATCAGTGAATATAATTAATGAAACTCATTAAGTCTCTACGTTGATGCAGCTTCTTTACTGAAGTTGCTGCATTATTTCAACATGAAACCACAATGAGATTTTTCTACTGAAAGCTTCCCTTTTCCCCAAAACTACATGCGAGTTACAAAAGGACATCGTTACAACACTTGAAACGTTTCTTTCAGGTGAATATTATCTGTTGTTTTAGAGGCAGTTTCTTGATTTTTCTGTAATTATTTTAAGCCTCATACATCTCTTTCAGTCAGTTTATTCTGACCGTCCTACTCACTCGAGCACCAAATGTGGATTAATCCGCCGCTGAAAATAGTCCCGAACAAATTCACTCCTAAAAACTACAGTGAGCAGCTGTTTTAGGAGATTACTGAAGAAACTATATATTTGTGTTTTTAAAGATGAAAGGAACCAAAGGTGCTGGAGCTGAGAGCCAAAGACAGAGTTGTACTTTAAGTGAAGGATCTGAATATTTCCTCCGAGGTCACAGTCCTCCTCACGCCGTCACGTCTCAACGATATGAAGGAGAGCAGAGTCAGCAGGAGAAAGTGAGATCACAGGTTGAAGCTTCCAGCAGGAGTGAGATCAGCCGACCTCCGCCCAGAGAGAGAGAGAGGAGGGTGGGGTCGGCCTCCCCAGAGTCTGGGTTGAGCCACTTTCTCTATCCAGACATCTGGAGAGAGACGCGACAGAGTCACTATGTTACTGTTCACAACTCAGAGTTATGTTCATCGGATCACTTTCTCACTGTTATTTGTCCTTTATTACACGTTCCCTCTGTAGCGGCACAAAGACACAGAAAACTCAAACTAAGACTGTGAAACAGACTTTTACTGACACAGATCCAACACTCTGGCATCAAAACGCTTTTTCTTCTTCTTCGCTGGTTTTCAAAGATGTTGCACTCAGACTGACAGGAACATAACTTCTGGGTCAACATTACTTTAGTTAATCAGATTTTTGAGGCTCAGACGTGACATAATCTGCGGGGCATGGACATGACATCAGGGAGCAATTTGGGTAATTCGGACACAATCTTGGTGATTCTGGCACGATCTCAAGGACTCAAGCATGACTTGGTGACTTGAACATAGACCGGGTGTCTTGGTCTTGACCTGCATGACTTGGATATGATCTAGTGACTCGTCCGTCATCTTTTTGGCTCAGACAATCTGGAGGACTCAGAAATGACCTTTTCTGACTTGGACACGACTCTCTTGACGACTTGGACACAACTCTTGGTGACTCGGACATGACTTGTGTGACTTATACAGGACTTGGACGACTTACACATAAAATGGATGACTCAGAAATTATGTTGGGGACTTGGACATGGCCCTGGTGATTTGGACATAATCTTAGTGACTTGGACATGGCTCAGGTGACTCGGACAAGGCGTTAGTGACATGAACATAATCTGGATGACTCAGTGATGACCTTGTGTGACTCGGACTTGACCCAAGTGACTCCAGCTCAATGACTTGGTGACTGGGATATCACCTCAGAGATTCGAACATGAGTTGATACCCAGAACACGACCCTGGTTACTCGGACAGGATATGGACGACTTGGACATAATCTGGATGACTCAGAGAGGAACTTGGATAATTTGGTAACTTGGACTTGACCCTGATGACTCTAGCTTAATGACTTGGTAACTGGAACATCATCAGAGAGTGGAACATGAGTTGGTGCCCTGAACGTGACCTCGGTGTTGTGAAGTGGAGCTTCTACTGACGACCAAGACACGTCTGGGTTTGAACGGAACACGTTTACTGTCTGAAACTGCAGTTACAACTGTTACAGTGAACAGAGTGCGATCTTGCACCCGACATATAGGTTTTTTCTTATCATCATCATTGTTAGCATCAACAAGACACGTACCATGCTACTTCTCGCTCCTCAAAGTAAAAGCACTTCCTGTTTCATGCTCTTCACAATAAAAGTACACATGCAATCAATCAATTTACACTCGGTGACTTGGACTTGAACGTCCACGACTCTGGACTCGAGGTTCACTGACCCGACAGCTGCACCACAAAAGAGGTTTTGTCCTCCTGGAGGAGAAACAAATAATAGAAATCTAAACAGTCGTCTTTCTGTCACATAAATGTAAATACAGTTTTGACTGACTGACTGCGTGTGTGTGTGAGCAGATTAACATCTCTGTTTTGTTTGGAGACCGTTTCCTTCTGCAGCGATCATTTCCATAAACACAAATACTGACCTCCCCCCTCTATCCCCCCCTCTCGCAGTCAGACGATGGGACGTCCCGTGTCTCTGAACAAACTGTGTTGACTGAAGGAAACTGAAGTGTCTCTGACAGCCGGAGCAACGAGTGAACCAATCAGAATCACTGAAGGTAAACTCGGACAGGTAACAATACACATGTACCTCTGAGATGTAGTACAGTAAAAATACATGTACCTCTGAGATGTAGTACAGTAAAAATACATGTACCTCTGAGATGTAGTACAGTAAAAATACATGTACCTCTGAGATGTAGTACAGTAAAAAGTACAGGTACCTCTGAGATGTAGTACAGTAAAAATACATGTACCTCTGAGATGTAGTACAGTAAAAAGTACAACATGTACCTCTGAGATGTAGTACAGTATAAAGTAGAATATATACTTTCAGTAAAGTATAAATTCACATAAAAACTAGAAGAATGCCAAATAATAAAATGTTGTCTTGTTGTGTTGCAGGTTGCTGAAGGGTCAGAGGTCAGAGGTCGTCATGCAGAGTATAAAGTGTGTGGTCGTGGGTGACGGTGCTGTGGGGAAGACCTGCCTCCTCATCTCATACACAACCGGAGCGTTTCCCAAAGAGTACATCCCCACTGTGTTCGACAACTACAGCAGCCAGGTGTGTATAGGTGTGTGCGTGTCAGTGTGTGTGTGAGTAGGCGTGTATGAGCGAGTGTGTGTGAGAGAGTGTGTGAGAGTGAGTGTGTGTCCGTCTTTAACTAACGATTATCTTCATTATCAAATAATCTAAACTTGATTTTCTTCATTAATCGTTTGGTCTAAAATACCAGAAAATAGGGAAAAATCTTCGGAATTATCCCATTTTTTTGTCTTCCAAAATCTTGTTTTGTCTAAAAAAAAAAGAACATCCCAAAAATATTCAGTTAGTCAGATAAATATACAGATAAAAAATGCAAATCGCTTGAGAAGTTTCTGAAACAAATTAATGTGTATGTGCGGTGCGTTCAGGTGACGGTGGACAACAGGACCATCAGTCTGAACCTGTGGGACACGGCGGGTCAGGAGGAGTACGACCGGCTGAGGACGCTGTCCTACCCCCAGACCAACGTCTTCATCATCTGCTACTCCATCTCAAGCCCCGCCTCCTACGAGAACATCAAACACAAGTGGCATCCTGAGGTCAGAGGTTTTGTTTTTTAATTTATTGGAGTTTTAATGTCTCTTTTACAGCTTGAGACATTTTTGTCTTATGTATTAATTGATAAAAACGAGAGCGCTGTAATTTCCTACTTTTAAGTTTATACATTTCAGGGTCTTGAAGGCATCACAAAATGTTATGAGAATTGTGTTCATCAGCACATTTTCTCCTTCATTAGTCTGTTCTTTATATTTATTCAAGTTATAAATGTTATCACATGACACAAGCAATGCAAATAGTTTTTGTATTGAAAAATATATGAAATCTTTAAAAAACGATCTAATGTAATTTACTTTGTGGTCTTATAACTATTTATATGTCATGTGACGTCACAATGAGTCACCATAACTCTGTAAACATATTCAAAAACATCTACGAACACTGATTAACACCTTGTTAAAAAACTAAATGTAAAAACAATAATTCTCTGCTGGGAGACAGGCTAGCTGTTTCCCCTCGTTTCCAGTCTTTAAGCTAAGCTAAGCTAAGCTAAGCTAACCAGCTGTTATTATAAAGTATCAAATCTAATGTCTTGTGTGTCTCAACAGGTCAGGATTTAGTTTCTTCATTGGCATCAAAGAATAAAACTTACTTCTGTTTTTCTGTGCGTAAGGCGTAAGGTGCGTAAGGCAGCATGCTGTTATATTCTAAGTATTAGAGAGCAGCTCCAGTGTTTGTTAACGTCGTATTCAGACTAAACACTTTAGAGAAACTCTGTAGAAAATAAAAATATGAGGGTTTTTAATTTAATGATGAAAAAAGAAACCGGTTATTTTCCTTTTTTGACGCCTGCAGAACCAAAATAAAAAAAACTATTTCTGATACATTTTCTTTGTGTTTTCCAGACTGAATGAAATAATTGAACCAGCTCCGCCTTTAAGTTAAGGACGAAGTAGTTTCTAGTTTCCGTAATATTTACTGGACTCCATTTCGTCTGCAGGTGTCTCACCACTGCCCCAGCGTCCCCATCCTCCTGGTCGGCACAAAGAGCGACCTCCGGAACGACGGCGAGACCCAGAGGAAGCTGAAGGAGCAGAACCAGATGCCCGTCAGCCACCAGCAGGGCGCCGCGCTCGCCCGCCAGATCCACGCCGTGCGCTACCTGGAGTGTTCGGCCCTGAACCAGGACGGCATCAAGGACGTGTTCGCCGAGGCCGTGAGGGCCTTCCTCAACCCGACGCCCGCCGTGCAGAAGAAGCACTGCGTGCTGCTGTAGGGCGGAGCCAACAAAACGACCACGCCCACAAAACGACGGGTTAACGTGGCAACGCCGCCTGAGAGACTGTTGGGATGAATCGATGCTAAACATGTGTCTTTTTAATGTTTGGTTAGAATTTTATCTTTGGTTGTTTTGGGCTCAGTGTTCGAAGTACGGGGAAATTTATGGGTCTAAGTTTGAGGTTTTGTTTTGGGGGAGGGGGGGGGGGCATTAATTTAAAGCATTTCTGATGCTGTAATGAACTATAATAATTAAAATCTAAATGAAACTCCACTGTGTCGGTTTAAATGTTGATGACTTCTCATATTATTTGGTGTCTTGTGGTAAAGTTTAAGGTAAATTAAAGTTACTGTGAAGAACTTTAAACTGGTCCTGAACCAGTCTCAGTGTAGTCCTGATCCTCTATCAGACCTCCATCAGTAAAGAGACCATCAGAGAGAAGATGGTCTGTTTCTATAGAGTTATTCTTAATGCTCGTCATCGGAGCCACCGGGTCGGATTCTGGTGAACCAGATGAATTCATGCAGGTTCACCAGAACCTCCTTCAGCTCAGACTCCAGCAGAGACAGATCCTCCAGAAGAGACCGGTCCACCGTGGACAGACCCAGATCCTCCAGCAGAGACCGGTTCACCGTGGACAGACCCAGAATGATGGTTCATGGTGACATTAAACTTCCTGTTTGAATCCTACAAAGCGTTACAGGAAGCGTAGTTCCAAATATACAAATATGAGAAATAGTCAGCGTGACAAAATAATATATATCAGGAACTTTCTGTCTGATTTCTGGGGTGGTGTATTGATTTAACACCTAAACTATCTGATGACTCGTCATCGCGGTGAGGAGAGCGGGTCGGACAGGAAGCAGCTCAGGTGGCGTCATGAACTGATGTAAATAGAAATAAGGAAGTTAAATAAACGGTTGTTCACTCTGAGACGCTTACATGCACATTAATGATTTTAATATAATCTTCTTTATTGAAACCTTTTCTGTCTTAGTGTGAATGGTTTCATGTCTTCAGATTGAGAGATTCAAATCCTCATGAAACCTTTTTAAAATGCACCAAAAGTATCAAAATACACTAAAAGTAGAAAAAGTACTCCTTATGCAGAAAGATATATTTCATATTATTGTATGATATTTATTGATGCATTAATGTGTTCATCCCTTTAAAGGTGGAGCTCATTTTAAATACTTTATATACTGCTGGTTGGTTCAGTCTATAATATAATTCATAATATATATATTTTTGGACCATAGTTTCTAACTGATATTCAGAGTCATGGACAGATTTAAATACATTTATTACTAGAAATACCTGCAGTAATTTCCTTATTTTCATAAAACAGACGTCTCTCTGTGTTGCTGTTGTTCTGTGAAGAGTTCTGATGTTCAGGGAAAAGCAGTTTGAGGAAGTGAGTTTAATGACCCGCAGGAGAAGAACTTCCCCAAACCATGAAAGGACTCTTGTGGCGTCAGATAAAAGAATCAGACCACAAACACACCTGAGTTTAGATACGCAAAGCACCTCCAGCTCAGCTCAACCAGAACCAGGACTGAGAGGTCAGACTGTCAGACCAGCAGCAGCAGAACAAGAGGTTCTAAAGGGAGTCTGGTGCTCAGAGACACTACCACTGCAGTCCACAGGGGGCGCCAGAAACAACACTAAGGAAAGAACATTTAGCTGATTATATACTTTTACTTCAGTAAGGTTCAGAATGCAGTCCTTTTACCTGTACCGGAGTATTTTACAGTGTGGTATTAGTACTTTCACTGGTAACAAAGTATATTTACAGTGTGGTAGTAGTACTTTTACTTGTAGTGGTAGTAGTACTTTTACTTGTAGTGGTATTAGTACTTTTACTTGTAGTGGTATTAGTACTTTTACTTGGAGTGGTATTAGTACTTTTACTTGGAGTGGTATTAGTACTTTTACTTGGAGTGGTATTAGTACTTTTACTTGGAGTGGTATTAGTACTTTTACTTTAGTATAAGATCTTCTTCCATCACGGCCTCTAACACACAGATACAAAAAAAATACGAGACAGAAACAGGAATGTTAAAGTTGTTGTTTGTTATTATCAAATAAACACGTCAACACTCAGACAGAGAGACAGACAGACAGAGAGACAGACAGACAGAGAGACAGACAGAGAGACAGACAGAGAGACAGAGAGGCAGAGAGACAGACAGACAGACAGACAGACAGACAGACAGAGAGACAGACAGACAGACAGAGAGACAGAGAGACAGACAGACAGAGAGACAGACAGACAGAGAGACATAGAGACAGACAGAGAGAGAGACAGACAGAGAGACAGACAGAGAGACATAGAGACAGAGAGACATAGAGACAGACAGAGAGACAGACAGACAGAGAGACAGACAGACAGACAGGGAGACATAGAGACAGACAGAGAGACATAGAGACAGACAGAGAGACATAGAGACAGACAGACAGAGAGACAGACAGACAGAGAGACAGAGAGACAGACAGACAGACAGACAGAGAGACAGACAGACAGACAGACAGACAGACAGACAGACAGACAGAGAGACAGAGAGACAGACAGACATTAGATAGGCACAGAGTCTGAATGAGCTTGATTCTGCTGTAGTGAAAACCACATGACTGATGAGTCTGAAATGTCCCAAAAAGGCCACCGTACAAGACAAAGTCTTTTGATTTTGGTAGCAACGGGACATTTCTGTGTATCTGACAAAATTAACAACAGAAGACTCGTGTTTAGTTTCCAGCGGTCTGATTTCTAATTTAACCTTAAAGTGACGAGTCAGCTGATTGTTAAATAACCTCACTAGCATTTAAAAAATCATTTATTTTGGTTGTTTCACAATAAAAGACCTTCACGTTCAAATGCACTTATTATGAAACACAAGCAGGAAGTGTTATGTTAGTTATTAACAGGAGCTTTAAAAACATCTTCACTTCACTGCAGAGTTCATTTTGGCACCAAATGTTGATTTAGTTTCAGTCCTTTGAGGAAAATGTAGATTCGTTTTAGTTGATTTTTGATATTTTTATGAAAGACTAGCAGTGCCAGGTAGGAGGACAAAAAAATAAAAAATAAAAAGATATTTTTTACATTTTGAGAATAAATCAAGCTAATAAAGTTAGCGCACATATGTTGAAATTTCATCTTTATTTTTGACAAACAAAACAAAACAAAAATCTTCCTCCTTTCGAATTTTTTCCTTGTCTCTGGCACTGATACTGAAGCTTCTGTCGTCCTCTTTTAATTTTTGTGTTTGCTAACCGTTGTTTCTCCTCCTCATTTAGTTTTCGTCGTGAAAAAATGTTGTCAACAGAGCGGAGCTGCTAATGACGCTAACCACGCTAGCGACTGTTAGAGTTGTGAAGCTGAAGGAGAAGCCCAAACAGAGCGGTGAGGAAACAGGCCGTCTCTTTGTTTCGTGTCCTGTCAGGACGTCAACAGTGAGCCGTGAACATGCGAGTCCAGTTTAGTGTTGGTGAGTAAACACAACAGCGGACGGAGTAAATAAACCTCCTGCGTTTATAACAGATGAGCCGTATTTACAGCTGTCGGATATAAAACACGTCCATAAACGTTGTTTAAATGGCAGCTGTAGTTCAGACTGAAGAGAAAAACACGAGGATGGAATGAGAGAGTTCTCTTCCTGGTTTTCATCTCAACACATCAGTTCGTTGACACCATCAAACTAAAATTTATTTAGTTTCTTCAGCATTTGATGAACTTTCCAAACACAAACAGTTTTTAAAGGGAATAATATAAATAACGACTAGACCTTTGTTATATTTGTCGTTGAGTTGTGTACTTACATCATCTTAAATGTTTATGCCGAGTGAAGCCGATGCTTCATGTGTTAAAGCTGCATTCTCTCTAGTGTC